CCTCTTGGGGCCAGGGGGATCCTAACTAAGGCATCCCCTTCGGGGGCCGAACTACGGCCCCTTGGGGCGCTCTTGGGTGCTCTTGTGGCCTTCTTGGGCCCTCTTGGGCCCCTCTTGGGGGCTCTCTTGGGCCATGCTGGAGCCATCTTGAGGCCTCAAGAACGAATTCAACATGAACAGGCGAGACGACACCACACAAAGATTTTCCAGAGGTTTTGGAAGGATGTTTGCCTCTCGAGGGGGGTCCTCGAGAGGCTCCATGGCCATCTGGAGCCGTGTTGGGACTGTCCTGTCGCTTCTTGGCGGCATGTTGGAAGCTATGTTGAGCCATCGCTATCTTGTGCGATCTCGGAGGCCATCGTGTGCTATCTGAGGCCCTCCTGGAGCACTTTGGGCCATCTTGCGCGCTCTGACCTCTCGCGACCAGGCCCGCCAGACCCAGGGAAAAGGGATAAGAGAAACAGTGAAACACTCCCCCAAGGGAAAGGAGGTCATGCTCAAAGCGCTGGTGGGATTTAGGTAAGCAGAACGTGTTTCCCAGAGACGGCTGGGGGGTGCAGCGAACGATAGTATTGCCGATCACGTCTCGACTTTCCCCCCCCGAGGAGAACGCCTCAGAGGTCGGTGTCGAGGATGGCGCGGAGGCGGTCGCGAACGAGACTGGCGTGGAGAACGAGTCGTCCGTCCCCGCGGAGAACGCCTCGGATGTCGGTGCCGAGGACGGCGCGGAAGCGGTCGCGAACGAGACTGGCGTCGAGAACGAGTCGTCCGTCCCCGCGGAGAACGCCTCAGAGGTCGGTGTCGAGGACGGCGCGGAAGCGGTCACGAACGAGTCTGGCGTCGAGAACGAGTCGTCCGTCCCCGCGGAGAACGCCTCGGAGGTCGGTGTCGAGGACGGCGGAGGGGCGGTCGCCAACGAAAGCGGCGTCGAGAACGAGTCGTCCGTCCCCGCGGAGAACGTCTCGGAGGTCGGTGTCGAGGACGGCGCGGGGGGGGCAGTCCCTGTGATGTGCCCCGCCGCCGTGTTGTGCGTGTGCTCCAGTGTCTATGTGCGTGGTAGTGCTTACAAGCTCCGTGCTGTCCAAGAGCCCTGCGGTGCTCACGGGCATCGTGGTGGTCGCAGGCACGGGTGCTGATAGTCACAGGTACCGCGGCAATGTCCGCAGGCGGTGTCTCGCTCACAACCTCTGCGGTATTGTAAATGAGGTGGTGCTGTGCTCACAAGCGCCATGGTGCCCACAGCCCTTGCGGCGCTGCAGGACTCATCGAGGTCATGGGCCTACAGGACTCGCCGTTGTGGCCAGCGACCCCGTGGTTGTGGTTGACCAGTATGCATCTGTGGTTCACACGAACCTCGCCCCTGGAATCATCTCAGCCCCCTCTGGGCCCACTTCTCCATGGCCGCTGGTGTTGCCTCTCCCGCCAGATGCCCCTCTGCCCAGTTGCGCTGTGTGCAGGTTGTTTAGCCGCTGCCGAGGACGGCGCGGGGGCGGTCGCCAACGAGAGTGGCGTTGCCGGTGAGAACGCCACCGAGAACGCCTCAGAGATCGGTGTCGAGGACGATGTAGAGGTGGTCGCCAACGAGAGCGGCGTCGAGAACGAGTCGTTCGTCCCCGCGGAGAACGCCTCAGAAGTCGGTGTCGAGGACGGCGCGGGGGCAGTCGCGAACGAGAGTGGCGTTGGTGGTGAGAACGCCACCGAGAACGCCTCGGAGGTCGGTGTCGAGGACGGCGTAGGGGCGGTCGCCAACGAAAGCGGCGTCGAGAACGAGTCGTCCGTCCCCGCGGAGAACGCCTCAGAGGTTGGTGTCGAGGACGGCGCGGGGGCAGTCGCGAACGAGAGTGGCGTTGGTGGTGAGAACGCCACCGAGAACGCCTCGGAGGTCGGTGTCGAGGACGGCGCGGGGGGGGCAGTCGCCAACGAGAGTGGCGTTGGTGGTGAGAACGCCACCGAGAACGCCTCAGAGGTCGGAGTCGAGGTCGGCGTAGAGGTGGTCGCCAACGAGAGTGGCGTTGGTGATGAGAACGCCACCGAGAACGCCTCAGAGGTCGGTGTCGAGGACGGCGTAGAGGCGGTTGCGAACGAGAGTGGCGTTGCCGGTGAGAACGCCACCGAGAATGCCTCAGAGGTCGGTGTCGAGGACGGCGCGGGGGCAGTCGCCAACGAGAGTGGCGTTGGTGGTGAGAACGCCACCGAGAACGCCTCAGAGGTTGGTGTCGAGGACGGCGCGGGGGCAGTGTCGAACCAGAGTGACGTTGCCGGTGAGAACGCAACGGACAACGCCTCAGAGGTCGGTGTCGAGGACGGCGCGGGTGCCGTCGCCAACGAGAGCGGCGTGGAGAATGAGTCGGCCTTTGCCGGGGAGAACCTCACGGAGAACGCCTCAGAAGTGGTTGCCGAGGACGGTGGGGGGGCAGTCGCGAACGAGAGCGGCGTCGAGAACGCGTCGGCCTCTCCCGCGGAGAACGCCACCGACAACGCCTCAGAGGTCGGCGTCGAGGACTGCACGGGGGCAGTCGAGGAGGAGGAGGATGAGGAGGACGAGGAGGAAGAGGACGAGGAGGAGAAGGACGAGGACGAGGAGGAAGAGGACGAGGAGGAAGAGGACGAGGAGGAAGAGGACGAGGACGAGGAGAAAGAGGAGGGTGGGATGTTTTCGCCGTCCAGGCCTTTAGAAGCACACTCTGGATTTTCCCGAGGTTCCTGATTTTTCCGACCCTTATATCCGTAAGGGTTTCGCCCCCTGCCGCCGGCCCCCTCACTCGGAGAATGGGCCATGGAAGAGCTAAGTCATGAGGCTTTGGCGCTGTCGTGCAGCAGTATCGGAACTTCATGCGAGGCCGATTCGCAATCGGCAAAACCAACTGATCACAAGAGGGGTTACCACACAGGGCGATTGGTAAGACGTGTATGGTTTACGAGCTTGGTTACCACACCTTGGGATTAAAGGGCCGAGGGAGTACTCGCAGTTTGGGTTACCACGCCTTGCGATGGATGTGCGTGAGGGGTGGCACCGAATTTCAGAAATGTGGCAAATCCCTGTGTTTTTGGACCCTGACCCCGCGGATCTGCGTGAGGGGTGGCACCGAATTTCAGAAATGTGGCAAATCCCCTGTGTTTTTGGACCCTGACCCCGCGGATCTGCGTGAGGGGTGGCACCGAATTTCAGAAATGTGGCAAATCCCCTGTGTTTTTGGACCCTGACCCCGCGGATCTGCGTGAGGGGTGGCACCGAATTTCAGAAATGTGGCAAATCCCTGTGTTTTTGGACCCTGACCCCGCGGATCTGCGTGAGGGGTGGCACCGAATTTCAGAAATGTGGCAAATCCCTTGTGTTTTTGGACCCTGACCCCGCGGATCTGCGTGAGGGGTGGCACCGAATTTCAGAAATGTGGCAAATCCCGTGTGTTTTTGGACCCTGACCCCGCGGATCTGCGTGAGGGGTGTCGATTTCGAGCTCCCCCAGCAATTCAGACAACGCGCCCAGGAGACGCTAAGAAATCTGGTTTGGGCCTCCCCCCCCTCGCGCGGTCAATCAACTAGTTACAGTAACCAGCAAGAAGCAGAACTGTAACACTGGAAACTACAAGCTACAACTGGTACAGGAAACTGCGAACCCGCGCCTACAGCCTGGTGGCCCCACAAGGGGGCCGGCGGATTTTCCTGCTGCCCTGCTGCCATTGTCGATTGCTTTTCTTATCCAACTGCTTCGCTCATTCCGCCGGCCCACACTGTATCTTCGCTGGCACTTTCCTGTGTGCTCGCGGCGGCTGAGAAGGTGATGGGCCGTTGCTGGTCGACCGCGTACGCGATCTCACGTGGCGCAAAAGCTGGATCAACAATTGTTGTCGCTTCGCGAATCCCCACCAGCCCATCCAGAAACGATGCCCAGAGGAATTGCCTCGATCAGAGAAGTGGGCAGCACACAGAGGAAGCCATTATGAGACATCTTGGGATATCTTGAGCCATCTTGGAGGTCATTTTGGGCTCTCCCAGACGCTCTTGGAGTCATCTTAATCCGTGCCCCCCCCCAAGAGGCCTCCATGTGGCTAAAACCTGTGTAGAATCAATGATTAGGCATTCTCGCCGAGGCCTCTTGGAGCATCTTGGGTGCATCTGGGGGGGCTCTTGGGGCCTCTTGGGGGTCTCTTGGGGGCCTCCGGGGGGCCTCTTGGGGGCCTCTTGGGGCCATTTTGGGGCCATCTTGGGACCTCTTGGGGCTTCCTGGGCGCTTCTTGGGGCCATCTTGGAGGAGATCGATCAAACAAGAGGGGGGGTTTAATTAGCGCCCCCCCTCGGAAGCCCCTAAAATCGCCTCTTGGACCCCTCTTGGAACGCTCTTGGAGTGCTCTTGGGCGCTCTTGGGGCCGTCTTGGGGCTCTTTTGGGGCTCTCTTGGGGCCCTCTTGGGCCATCTTGGAACCATCTCCAGGCCTCGGATGGCCATCGGAAGCGAAAAGGCGAGAAAGCAAAAATCATTGATTTTCCTTAGGTTTTGGGACGATTTTGGCCTCTTCGGGGCCTCCTTGGGGAGCTGTTTGGCCACTTGGAGTTATCTTGGGGCCGTCTTTGGGCTTCTTGGAACCATCTTAGGAGCCATCTCGAGCGATCTTGCGCTATCTTGAGCCATCTTGGAGCTCATCTTGGGTTCTCTGAGGCGCTCTTGGAGCCGTCTTGGGCCATCTGGGACGCTCTAACTACCCGCGGCCCCCCCCGTCCAGGTCCAGGGGAGGGGGTAGGGGGAGGGGTAAACCCCTCCCCAAGGGGGAAGAGGGAGGGGTGGAAGAGGATCTGTTCTAGACCACCTACGCCCAGAGGGCTGGTGGGATTATGCGGGTGGAGTCCTTACGGTGATGATTCCCTCGCAGAATCTGCAAGTGGCTGCAGCCATCAGCAACGATTTTGGTGGTGATACCGGTGTGAGTCGAACAAATATCATTATTACGAGATATTTGATCCCTTATTCAGGAGTTCGTTTTGCGCATATCTATGACAGTTATGTGCTGTTGCTTTCCATTGGGTCGTTCCGATTATTAAGCGTTATTTCTTTTGCGTGCGCTCGTTGTCACCTCCTTTGGGGGGCTTGGGGCGTGGCCGGCTTCCTGTGGCGTCTTAGACCCAATGCTATGGGACGACACGCATTGCCATCTAGCGGACGCGCTCCAAGTCGATGCATCGAGATGGTTGGGAAATACGCATTTCTGTGCGCCGCCAGTCTCTTCCAGGTTCGGTGGGTGGCGGTCGCTTCTCTGGGTTGTCGCGTGAGCCTTGCTGGGGGGAGAAGGCAGTGGCAGGGTAGCTGAAAGGCAGCGTTCAACGGAGTACGTCCCCGCCGAAATTTCGTCAGTGCATTCCGCCACCGTGCCTGGGTCGTGGGTCACAGGCGTGTTGGACACTTGTAGGGGTCTTCCGGTATACCTCTCGGGGGCCTCTTGGAGCCTTATCGGGGACACTCCTGAACTTGCTGTGGCCTTTGAACTTACTGGGGCCTCTTGGGATCTCCTGTGGGCTTCTTGGGGGACTATTGAGGCCTCTTGGGAGGCCTCTTGGGGCCTCTTGGGGGCTTCTGGGGGCACGGTCTTGGGGGCCTGCTAGCCGTCTCGGAGATCCTCTTGGGGGGCCTCTGAGGCCGCTTTGGGTGCTTGAGCAGTCTTGCAGCTCTCCTGGGGACCTCTCGGGCCGTCTTGAAGCAATCTCGAGGACCTCTTGGACCGTCTTGGGTTGTCTGGAGCCTGGAGAAAGCGAAAACGCTGAAATCTTTCAAACACCTACGGCGAATCATAGATTTTGTTTCTTGGGCCCCTTTTGACTCTTTTCAGGGCCTCTTGAGCCATATTGATGTCATTTTGGGCCGCCCTGGAGTGCTCTCGGGCCGTCTCGGGGCTCTTGGAGGGGTCCTGAAGCCCGCGCCCAGGAGTTCAGGCATCTCTGAAATGACCCTTGCTGGGACTTTGGTGGGACCCTGCCGGGGACTTGCCAGGACCTGCCCTGGGTATTTTTCCCGCAGGGAACCCCAGGGGCCACCCCGCGCGCGCGCGCGCGAATTAACAATAGTCTGCAACTGCTCTACCCGAGATTCTAGCACGCCTTTGGCCCGTCGGACCCTCGAACTGCCGATGCACACGTTTGTTGCTCCACGTGTGGGCCAGATGCCGCAGCCATGCCGGGCCCTAGGTCAAGGCAGCGTGCAACGTTGGCGGCGAGCCTGGGGGGGAATGGAGGGGAGGCGGGCCTTCTCAGAAGGCTCGGAAGTCACCCGGCCTTCTGAGAAGTTCCCCAAGCCTTCCCCGAAGGCACAACAAACTTATCAGAAGGCGCGAGGGTTTCTGAGAAGTCCCGCCGTCTTCTGAGGAGGCCTCCTCCTTCTCACCTCCCCCCCCTCGCTCGCCGCTGAAAGAAAAAGAGGCGGAAGAGGCAGGGGAGGAGGTGGATGACGATCATATTGGGCGCGCTGCCTGAACCCGCGCGGGTCTCAAGCTCGACCTCGTTTTTCTGGGTCTCGGAGCCCCTCTTGAACCCTCTTGGGCCCTCTGTTCGTGTGGTGGCCTCCCCATGGGAGTGCTGCGGTAACCTGTAGGGCCCAGGAGGTTGAGGGCCCTCCCCCAGGTGCATTTGTTCCCTACCTAGGCTCTGCCTAGAGGGTTCTTACTCGCTGGGCAAGGGGCCGGGCAGTGGGCCCCGCCCAGGGCGGTTCCCCCGGTCCCCTGGGAGCGGTTCCCCCAGTCCCCTGGGAGCTTTAGCTTTAGCTTTAACTTTAACTTTAGCTTTAGCTTAGCTTTAGCTTAGCTTTAGCTGAATTTTAGCTTAGCTTTAGCTTAACTTTAGCTTAGCTTTCTCTTAACTTTAGCTTAGCTTCAGCTTAGCTTTAGCTTAGGCTTAGCTTAGCTTTAGCTTAGCTTGACCTTAGCTTGACCATAGCTTTAGCTTAGCTTTAGCTTAGCTTTAGCTTAGCTTTAGCTTAGCTTTAGCTTAGCTTTACCTTAGCTTTACCTTAGCTTTAGCTCAGCTTTAACTTAGCTTTCCCTTATCATTAGCTTAGCTTTATCTTAGCTTTAGCTTTGATTTAGCTTAGCTTTAGCTTAGCTTTAGCTTTAGCTTAGCTTCAGCGCAGCTTTAGCTGTAGCTGCAGCTTTGCTTTAGTTTAGCTTTAGCTTAGCTTTAGCTTAGCTTTAGCTTTAGCTTAGCTTTAGCTTAGCTTTAGCTTAGCTTTAGCATAGCTTTAGCTTAGCTTTAGCTTAGCTTTAGCTGAGTTTAGCTTAACTTTAGCTTAGCTTTAGCTCAGCTTTAGCTTAGCTTGACCTTAGCTTGACCATAGCTTTAGCTTAGCTTTAGCTTAGCTTTACCTTAGCGTTACCTTAGCTTTAGCTTAGTTTTAGCTTAGCTCTAGCTTAGCTTTAGCTGAGCGTTAGCTGAGCTTTAGCTTAGCTTTAACTTAGCTTTAGCTTAGCTTTAGCTTAGCTTTAGCTTAACTTTAGCTTAGATTTAGCTTAGCTTTAGCTTA